GAAATTATCATGCCCAAAACATGGAAAATAATTCTGAACAGTCTGATTTGTTTACAGACATTTAAGGAAAGTGTCATAAGATCCTAAGATAGGGGACGTCTACGAAATTGTATCTTATACCGGTGCCTCCACCAGAAGAAGTTCACGAGATTCTCTGTACACACACTCAAGCACGCGCCAAAACCTGGCCCCGACCGTCAGATGTCAGTTTCGCCGAAGCTTTCTTGCGCCCACTTTATGGAGTCGTAAAAAATCAAACAAGACCGTCCCCTCTTTTTATTGCATTAATTCGCCGTCCCCTTAAAACTTTGATAGCTCATGCTAGTGTTCGTTATAGACTAGTGATTTAGAGGGGTACCAAACCTTTGAATTGTTATGCTTTAGATTTTTTTAAATATTATTTTTAGAAAGATTTTACAATAAACCAATACACAACAATACAATAAGTATTACTGTAATTTATTACATGAGCTATCTAGAACATTGGTTGGTGACGATTTCCGCATTGAAAATTGTAAAAATCTATTATTATATGAACTATAATACATATAAATAAAACTACCCATGTTAGAATGAGCTATTCGGCTGCCTGATGCACGTTAGCTTAAAAATAAAACTTTATATAAATATATATATAGTTCAACAGGAAGAAATTATATGGAACAATCATGTTTATGCTTAAGAAAAACTAATTTGAGCCAAGAAAACACAGACAATATTTTGGTATCCTTTGAAGAAAACACAGTCAATACCTTGGTACTTTTGGAAGAAAACGCAGTCCAAACCTTGGTACCTTTTGAAGAAAACACAGTCAATACCTTGGTACTTTTTGAAGAAAACACAGTCAATACTTTGGTACCTTTTGAAGAAACCACAGTCAATACCTTGGTACCTTTTGAAGAAAACACTGTCAATACCTTGGAACTTTTTGAAGAAAACACAGTCAATACCGTGGTACTTTTTCAAGAAAACCCTGTCAATACCTTGGAACTTTTTGAAGAAAACACAGTCAATACCTTGGTACCTTTTGAAGAAAACACTGTCAATACCTTGGAACTTTTTGAAGAAAACACAGTCAATACCGTGGTACTTTTTGGAGAAAACTCAGTCAATACCTTGGTACCTTTTGAAGAAAACACAGTGAATATTGTGGTACTTTTTGAAGAAAACACAGTCAATACCTTGGTACCTTTTGAAGAAAACACAGTCAATACATTAGTACCTTTTAAAGGAAACGATCAATACCTTGGTACCTTTTGAAGAAAAAACAGTCAATACCTTAGTATATTGTACACCCTATAATGAACCAATTGGTATACAGAATTAAATGATTTATAATATTATAGCTTTGTAGTAAGGCTTGTGTTTCTCAGTCCTTTTAGTTTGAGAGTCATGTGGTCATGGGTAATAATTAACTACTCCCAAATCAATATAGATGTAGCTTTATAATCAGAATATAACAAAACCACAGTTTCCCAACAAAATAAAAGGTCCTTCTAAAATATAATAAATAAATGGGTAGATCTTACTTTAATGCGGTATTCTACTTGGGGCTGAATTGGCACAGCTAAGTAAGGTTATGTTTCACCAGCAACTGGAACTCGTCTGAAAAATTTACCACAAAGATTTAATTCTAAGCTAAAAATACTAAACTAAGATTTTATATGATTTAGGCTACAGTTGGAACATACAAATTGTTTCATGTTAAAACGAAAGTAGTTACACAAAACACATATTTAAGTTCAAACCGTTTACATAGTCAAATAAATACATATTGATCGAGATTCTTGTAAACTACATATTTCTGAAGTGAAAACAATTCATTAAAGATCACAAATAATATTTAATTAAATCTACTTACATTATCACGAGTTATAAAATTGTCAATGTGCCAACCCCTTTCCTGACTGATACAGATTCAAGATTCAATGCACGATTTTCCGGCTAGAACATCTACAATCAATGATACCACTACAACAAAATAAAAGTACTTCCATCTTTACTATAGGTACATATATAAAACATATATATTTTTTTACAAACAAAATAATCGGTACAATATTTTGAATTTTTGTTCTTTGGTATCCATCCTCAAAGTTACCTTTCTCAGTGGAAGTATAGGGGCTTAAAAATTAAGTTGAGTCAAACAATTAAACCTAGATGTTATTGTAGCCTCTTTTAATTTGTGAAAAAACACCCTCTGGAAATATTTGTTTATTTATTAATTGCACAAGATATTATACGAATATAACCACACATACATTATTTATACGAAAACAGTAAACACTACTGTCAAAGGTGGAGCTGCCTCTCTGTCGGTTTCTGGACGGATAAACATTTCCAAATCGCTAGACAAGAATGTGGGATTGAGGAGGGTCGGCGACTTCAAGGTGTAAAAACAACCGGAAAACATTTAATCTGATCTTGATCTGTGCCGGCTACCGGAATACGAGGGTCGTCAGATCCCAGGATCAGGTGTAAAAAGATATTCCCATCGTTTGAAATAGAAAATGTGTTGTTATGCAGCATAGTGAGCTTTTGACATTATTACCACCCTCGCCATGCTAACAGATATAAGGGTCGGGGATATTTCGATATTATGGTGTTATGATGAAAAGAATAGGTAATTTAATGACATTTTAAGGTTTAATACAATTATTATATTAATATGCTGTATACATTTAGTTATAAATTGTCGAGGATAAAAGCGCTCAAACTAAATAAACAATCACGACCCCGAGTGATTACTAGACAACTGTGTCCATGTAGGGTTAGTATTTTATGACCATTTAAAACAAAAATATTCACTCATTACACCTACATTTATCGAAAATGTACAATTCGTCTTTTAATTCACCTACCAACCGCCTACAATCAACATGATATTTTTGTAACTGCATTATACCCAGCGGAAACTCAGGAGATGTGAGATCCGACTCTCGAAGCTAAAAATATCCCGCTAATGTTAGCTTACGTTCTATTTTATTGTCATCGTCGGTAGGAAGTCATAATTTGTCCGTGCTCGTGCCCCCCCCCCCCCCAAACACTAGAAGTGACGCGACAACACAACTGTTTGTGACGAACAAATTGACAAGACCAACATGTGTTGTCGTGTACCACTGTAACAGCTGACATACGTAATGCTCCTTCTTGTTCTTCTCACCCATAAAAACTTACTATATCAAATATCACCTTTGTAACATATGTTAGCATGTCACAACACTTGCTTACTTTGGGTGTTTGATGGTTTGATGGACGGGTAACAAACGATTAATTTTTTCTTTGTATTAGAATACTTCGTCTGCAAGTACATTTTTTATTGTAAAATCTTACCCTATATGTTTCATGTTTGTTACTTTGAAGTGCGCTGATATGCTCAATTAGCACCCTTATTTGGTGAAGATTCTACGATTTGTGCTTTACTCTTGGATATCCAAAGTCAATGATATTGTCTACGTAAGCAAAGTCGTCAAATCAAAGGTAAATGATAGTGTAACAGTTGGGCTAACAAAAGCGAACTCAAAAATAACTATATATAACCAGATATACAGATGAGAACAGGTTTTAGATTTTGCAAGAGGGTGAGAAGTATGCTTTAAAAACCAAAGACAATATTAACTTAAACTCGTGACAAAAAAGCTAATTCAACAATGTTTTTAGAGGATAAAAGATAAAACCCAGTTCTGAAGAAAACCATTGACTTGGGTTCATTTTTCATAAATTGTTGGTGTAACATCGGCTACAAGACGTATTTTTTGGCTATTGGTTATGAAAGTAACGATAATCCTGTTATGGATTTCAATAAAGTCGGTTTGTTAATATCTCCAAGTTTATGAAAAGTTTCTGTTTAAATACAACACACTGTTCACGTGCAGATTATTGACGTTTCCTTCTACATTTGTCAACTTTCTATGACGGAACGGTTCCTTAATGTTCACATGCATGAACATTATTTAACGTTAAAGGTCATATGGAGGGCGTCACTGAATATGACGGTTGGTTAGGCAAATATCATTAGTCGAAAACGCCGATGCTTTTAGAGAAAGTATGTACTGTAGCTGTATAAGTTTATGGCAAAACTATACTTTTATCAACGAATATTATCAAATGTGTGAAGTTTGTATGAGGGTTGTCATACTGTTGAAGTATCCATCCAATTTCGAAGCTTGTGTACAAAATGTAAGGAATTTATTATGACATCTTAACCAATCAGTTAAATTTGAAGAAAATAACGACAACGGGTTTCAGTGAAACATTCATTATCAATTTTGATACGATTGGTGTCAATAATTTTATCACGGTGGCAATCGAAGCAATTTTACCTTTGAACTATGAAAAAACTCAAAGTGTCATTCGACCTGTAAAAAGGAATTACCGATGTAAAAGATGTGTGTTTTAAAAAAACAATTCCAAAAATCTAAAAGGAACGTCCGTTAAAAAGTCACCTTGGTTCTGCCAAACCAGGGATCTATTACTTTTGCCATCTCGACTCCAAAAGTGCTGGTTTATGTAGAGATATTTACTGTCAGAGGTCACTGATCCGCTATCAGGAAGAGAAAAGAAGTTGAATTCCACCGGAGGAACGGCAAGTGGTTTAGAGAGGCGTATAAATATCCCGCCAAAAACAGCCCGCCAAAAACAAGGCCCTCGTAAAACAGCGACCTGCGACCGGGGTCGGCAAATGTGAAATGTGTGTAAGTCTGAAGACCATCTGGGCATCTGGGTATTGTTTTATTTGTTTTTAGGCCTTAGACACAGTGGTTAAAAGGAAATTTGTCACATTTTTTAGATAATGTCCGTAGAAAATCGTGTAGTAATAAGGAATGCACTTTATTTAAAATTGTGTGATACATAGGTATAATAGTAGTATTTATACAGCTACATACATAAGCCAACAAGTTTATGGAGTATCATCCACAATCTTAGCATTTAAGAAATATTTGTCAATGTTATTGTACATTTTAAAAACAACATTTGTGCAATGTATTCCATCTGTTTAGGTAACTGGGGATACCACAGACAAGGTTCCTGTCAGGCGGGTCTGGGGGCCTCAATATCCAAGGTAAGTGTTTTACTACTCAACTCGAGCATACCACCATAAATATATTTTCATCTCACATTTCATTTAATCTCGCGTGATAATCGATATCAGGATTAACTGTTTTCCCATTCAATTTATGTTGTACTAAAGTCCAAAATAGTTTCCCGTTTTCTCGGGAATGTGATGATCGGGGTCCTATTTTATTTTATTAGTCATCGTGGAATATTCAACGTACTTCATCGTCCCTCTTTTTGTCTCTATTTGTCACCTGTACCGTTCTAACCTACGCTTATCAGTCGAATATCACATGCTACACACAATGTCACATGATGTTGGTCAATCTTCGGGAGTTGACTTGACAGATGGGTTCGCCTGTTCAACGAAGTGGTCATCTGAAGATTCGACAGGCAGCATGTATCTACATTAGTTCATTCTGCTCATATCACAGATGGTATACAGGTTGACATATCGCCGCGATCGTCCCAGTGGCGGTGTTTGCTCTGGTTGAGCTACAGCGCATGCGTTGTGCCCGGAGCTGCGCAGTGCGATGCAAATGCGCCGCAGTATACGGGCAAGAAGTGCAGAGGTCGCCGATAGCAGCTTGTCTGCCCATAGATCTGCGATGAAACGGGGATAACTTTATTGAGAAAGGTACCCGGCTGACGTTTACACCATAGTAAAAGAACCGATCGCTCTCGGCCAGTCGCAGTGGTTATTGAATTACAAATCATACTTGGACTTTTACTGTCGACTGTGACGTTTTTGTACAACTTTCTCCATGTTTTGCTGTTTTTCTCGTGTTTAGTTATCGGTTGAAAATACTCCATATGTCAGTTCTTCAATTTACTTTGCTCGAAATGCCTTGACGTGTACAGCTGTATTTTCTTTAGGAAGAAAAGATGGAAATACGTCATGTATCTGCTGTTCTTTTTATTTAGGTTTTCTTCGAGTTTCCTCCTGTATTCATTTGTTTTCCCACGTGTTTTTGCGTTACGTAGGGATATTTCAAGTATCCTCCTTGTTCTACTGTAAAATTTGAAATATGCGTGATATTTCTTTTCATGTTTTGTTACACGATTTGTTCATTTGTATTGACTATGTGTTTCACCTTAAAAGAAAATTAACAGTGTGCTCTTTTTCTTTAATCATATTGTCAAGGGACGAGAACAAGGTTATTACAATTATTTTTTTTTATAACTTAAAATATAAGAAAAACACACTACATATACCGAACAAATATGTACCACAAACTGCTTTTAGTAGTGGGATTTGTCAGGGTGGGGAATCTAAGTATGTTTAATTTGTTTAGTCTATGCTTGTTACATATACTATTTTATAATAATTGTTTATTGGATCAACAAAGTATGTGTTTATGTAATCAAATCGTAAAACCACTGTTTGGCCTCTGTAAAATGAAGATATTTTTGAAGAGTCATTAATGCAGCTTGCTCCCCTCGAATTAAGGTTGCTTTGTCTAGAAATCTATATTGTAATTATTCAAACTAATCTAAAGTCTACAATTAATGCAACTTTGAAGTTGGTTCACTACAACTAAATAGTATTGTATATTACATTACAATACACAATATATCAGTACGTTATGTCTTGGCTCTAACGTAACCTAACAAAACCCAACACAACCCAATTTATGTTAGGATTAGTATTCCTACACATGATTTTTAGATATTTGAACTATTTCATCTTGAAAAACATAGTGATAGTGAATTAGCGAAAAAGGTATAAATTACAAATCCTTCATCACGATTAATCAATCGTCTCATTTTAAAATGACGATTAAGTAACTGTACTCGCAAGAAATTCAGCCATAACTAACCACAAACTCGTAACTAAAATCTGTCACTATATTTCGTCCTGTTCAATTAAGACATAAACCAAAGTGGGTTCTCTACCTAGTTTTATACTCGGTTTTGTGGTCGCTTAAGTGTCAAATAACTACAGTAAGCGGTGAGCGGTGATCCTAACCTGTAACACTTGATCGCAGGTGGTACAGTACAGAGATATGGGCGTGTGATTTACAGTGTAGTAAAGTAAATAGTTTGACCTTTGCCCTACCATTTCATTCACGGTGTTCGTAATAGAATACACCTGACATTCCTAACAATCGTCTGCAATGGTTGTAAAGATACGTTTGTAACATCGCGTCTCTTTTTTCTTCTTTCATTTTATTCGGTAGTAAGTTTTGAATTAGTTAAATATGGGAGACTTTTAGACATTTCCCTCAAAGTTTCGTAATTTAAAAATAAAAAGGTACCGGCGTATCATCTTGTGAGTGTTATTCATTATCGTGTTTCTTGGTGGAGAGAGTTCTTTAGCACAGAGAACGTCCCCGTCCTCGTCAAGACCTACTTAAAAGATTTCTTATCAATAGCTTATAAATCATTTTTACAAGGCGAAGAGTACAGTACCTTTATTTTCTTTGAGAAATTTAACCTTAAGATATATTATATTACCATGTGAGATGGAGACACTACCTTGGTGGTTATTAAGCCCAAATATGAGTGAAGGACGTTTATTGATGGATCTTGTAAAACCAGTAACTGACATACATTCAAACTACGAAAGTTAAAAATGTTTATCAAACTTTACCACAATGTGTTTGACGCTACACACAACACCTACACCGTATTGGTATTTCTCCCAAAAAACAAGCTTGATTCATTCGTGAAGCATCGCCTAAAACATAAATACACACCGATCTTTCAGCATTATGTAGTAAAACACGAAGGAAACACAGAGGAATAAGAAGGAACGGCCAACAGGTGGTTGGACATGTGCGCCTGATTTAAATATAACACGGGAGCATTGTGTGTTAAAACCGCACGGAACACTGTCCACGGCGGGCATTACTACTTTTATCGCCCTATTTTCACATAATGCTCGCCATATCTGCCTGTTTCTGCAACTCATAAATTCTAAAACGTGCGCTTTTCGGTCCCGTTTGCGCTGTGAATGCTGAAGAGGTTGTTGCCAACCTGACGATGACAATGTAGAAAGCAGTGTAGGTCTTGGCGGTGTGGGGATAGTGCTGGACTTTGCATGGTCAAGCGGTAAGATTGACGGGAATCCACCAGCAAGACCACATGAGTTATTCATTAGGTTCTTGATCTATAGCATCATGTTTGATACTGCAAGTACCGGTAAGCTTCTCAACTGGTGTAAAATGTGGCAAACAAGGCAGTGTCTGTGTAGGAACAGTGTTTGATAAGAGATATTGGCTAGCTTCTAACTTCATTTTTGAGGTGTTGCCTTCCGGACTGCTTAACAATTATACTATTCTAGAGGCAAAATACCTTGCTGCCAATTACCAAGGATTAAATTGGAAAAGGGGTATTTAACCTCTATAATAGTATGGAGGTATTGGATGAAGTGCCAAATTTGGATCTGGACTTTGCATGGTCAAACGATAAGATTGATGAGAAGTCATCAGAAAAACCACAGTTGTTTCGTATGATCTTGAAGATAATACTACCAATACTACCACGTTGGATACTGCTAGTAGACCCATGATCGTAAAATCTTGCAAACCCGACAGTAAAACTATGGAAATTAGCGGTGCAAGAACTTAGATGAAGATGGATACATCTGGACGTTGGTTGTAGGCCTACTGGCGGTTAGTGAAGAAATAAAGCTGAAGTTACCAAGAAAAACAAAGACGTTAAATATGATGAGTACTTGAAGATATTCTGCCGCCAAACCTATCATCCTATTTAAAAATCGTGTAACCTGTCAATGAAAATTTAGAAAGTAGCGTTGATATGAGATCTTGGCTGCAGATCTTCTCTGTACTTTGCAAGGTGAAGTGAATAAATTGGCGTAAAGACAACAAAAAGCACTTTATTTATTGTGATCTTAAATACTACTACTTGGATACTGTAGACTTTTCATCCTATTGGAAAATCTAAAGCTATTTTATATTTTGTTTTATATCTGGTTACGTCAATCTTTTGCGTACAAACTATATTGCGGAACGCAAACTTTACTCAAAATTTAACAAGATTCCTTTGTCAACATTTCAACTGTTAACACAAAAACACCACCGTGAAATTCGAACCCTGAAATCCCACTACGTATTTCAACTGTCCTCGCAATATGACTACGACACGAAACTCTCCATCAATACAGCAAAGGTCACCACGACAGTTTCAAAGCAGCAGGTCCAGTAATGCGATACGCTGCGAGTGTAATTGTAATGTAATGCCGTGTAATGTAACGCGCATGCGCTATGATTTAGCCGCGGCCGCCGGCATTGTGCGCATGCGCCAATACTGCGATGTTTATGCGCGACAGTACGCACGCCGTGGGCTACTAGCACCGATTTATCTGTATTTTATACATCGACAATAGACTCTTGTTATCGCTAGGATCGTTTGTGAGTGGTGTGGTTCGGGAAGGTGGTTTGAAGAGGTTGAAGGAGGTATATATAGTTTTGTTATATAACTTAGTATGATCATTGTCGTGTTCCATTTTGAATTTTACTACAGATAAAAAACAATTTCTTTTACATTTGACATCCTTGTGGATCATCTGAAGACAGTAAGGTTAGTTTTGTCCGGTTCATGCACAGGGAGCAGTTTACTATTTTGTTAATAATTAGTTAACACTATTTCAACTAAATAAACATAGCAGCTATAGTTTGCTACTATAGCCAAAAATTCAAAGATAAATCGAATATTTAATCCTGAAATAAGAGAGAAAGACGTAGACAATAGAGTACCCAAACGTCCCTAATATGAAATACACATCAAATCAGGCTTTTGATTTTACAATACTCTAATATGAGAATCATGCTATATAGTACCTACCCAAAGGCAATGGTGTTATGGTGTTAAGTAAGGCCAAATACATGCTGTGCAAAATTTGAACAACTTGGAGAAACACACTAAATTTTTAAAACATGAAGAATGAAGGGATCTGATGACATTTTTGGTTTCTGGGGACATCGAAACGAAAAAGTATATCGGTCCTGGGTCCGGCAATATGGTATTCCCTTTATGGGAAGT